AGGGGGGCTTTTCTTGTTTTGAATTGGCAATGAAGGCGGTGGACGTGTGTCTTTAGGAGGCGGCGCCAGCGCTGGGATAGGAGGCGGAGGGTTTGGTGGTTGGATTGGGGGTTCTTTTTTCCCAACCGCCATGAGGGTAATTCCAGCTGACGGTGGAGGAGTGGGCACGGCCGCTGTAATTTTAATCGAAACATCATCATCCTCTGGATGAATTCTAACGTGAGAGATCGAAGATTTCCCCCGAAGCAGAGGAATTTCCTGCGTCGGCCCCACCTTCCTCCACCGTTGATTATGAAAGATCCCGCCTTCTCCTCTATCATCTTGTCGTTCATCTTTCGATCCATCAAAGCTCTTTTTCTGAAACCCATTCTCACGGTTTCCATCTTCCAGCTTCCTCCAATAAAGAACGTCCAACCCATTCTCATCCACAATCAACCCCTTCACATTCCCATCAAATCTTCCAAACTCATTCCGAGTCACCACAAACTGACCTTCTTGAAAACCACCACCACCACCACCGCTCCCTTCGCCACCACCCACCCCCCTCTTTCGCCGCAAAAACCTCGTGACCAAAAAGAAGAACACCGTCGCAACAACCAGAGTACTCACAGCAGAAGCCGCCACTGCTTTCACAATAACCTCACCATCCGACGAAGACGATCCCGGCTTCGACGACGGTGGCGGCAGTGTAGGCGGTGGTACAATTCCCACTACCGTCGGAGACCCCGGAATGGGCTCCGGCGCCGGCTCCGGCGCAGGAGGCGGACCTATAACTGGGTAAGAAGTTTCAATATTTTGTGGGGATTCAGATTGACAATTCTTAAAGGGCAAGACAAAAACCAAAAGGACAAAAACAACAACCAAGGGCCGCCGTACGGCAGCCATGAAAGATTTGGGTTTCGGGAAAGAAGATGAAATTATGGAAATCAAAACAGAAACGATATGATTTTCCGGAGATCGGATTCGCTTGAGATAGTGTTTATCTTTGTTTTTTTTTTTGCTGACAGTTTCAAGAAAGTGAGGTGGGTAGTTTGCTTCCTAATTTAGTTCCTTCCCGGGTTTTTTCTACGTTGGAAAATGACCAAAATAACATTCTCTGGGGATTTTGTTAAGTTATGGATTTAGGTCATTTTGGTACTTTTATTGTCTGTTTTATTATTAATATATGACTATTTAGGGTTTATAAAATACCAGTTCAATACTACAATTTTGCATCTGAAGCAGTTGAATGGGTACAAGGAAAATGCTATGGGAGATTTTTCAATTTCACATTCTAGAAAGTTAAATTGCGGAGATAACTTAATTGTTTAAAAATGTGAGATTTTATATTTAAATTTTGAGGTAGGTAGAGAAAAATTTAAGAAAATAAAATGATTATTTATTTTGTGTAGTCTATCATTATATGTACTGAAAGAAAGAAAGTTAAATTATCACATTTAAAATTTAAAGATTTTTCAGTAAAATGTGAATTAAGAAATTTTCTGATAATAGTGAATTTCAAAAAATTTTAAAATTATAACCAAGTGTTAAAAAAAAAAAAAAGAAGAGAAAACTAATATTATGTGACAATAATTGTAATAAAGAAAGAGCTAAGAAAAGTTATATATCTTAAAATCTTGGTGGATTTGAGATTTAAATATTTATAAGATTTATAAGTTTGTTAAGGAAAGTGAATCTCAATGGGTAATACAGCAAAAAATCAATTAAACCAACTGGCAATATGGCATCCCCTTTTATGATTGAAGATATCATGTTTTTCATGGCGCAATTAATGGAAGTCTAAAGGGTAGAAATAGAATGTATCAAATTTTAGGTCATGTGACACTGTTTGCCGTGGAAGGTTGCCCTCCATAATTTTTTGACTTGCACAAAGTCAACAAAAAAGGCACAACACATTAATACACAACAAATTCGTGAATACTTTGTCTTGGGTAAGTAGAGAACATTTTTTTATTAGTAATTTGTTCTTATGAATGAAAGGAATTTAGTTTCTTTTAAATAAAATTTTAAGTTCGAGTCTTGTGAATGGAAAAACAAATATTGAAAGAGTTTTCCTCAAATAAGGTTTGACGCAATTTGATTTCAAATTAATCGAGATTTAATGTGATTATCGAATAATAAGAGGTTAATACTAAAAAATAAAGAGACCATTTTTTTTAATAGTTATCTTATTTTTGTATTTGTTTTTGTATATCTTAATACTAATTTTTCCTTAGGTAATATTAGAAACATGCATCTTTTATATTGGGTTTAGTTTAATAACATTGGTATGAAACTATAATAGTAGGTTTTTTTTGTCTTTTAATACTCTAAAAATATATAAAATATATTTTATACACTTAATATTCATTTTAATTAATATTTTATATATTTTAAAAATAATAAAAAGATACAAAAACTGAAAAGTAGAGTGCTAAGAAATATTATCAAAAAAAATTCTTAAACTAATGCATTTAAAAATTTTAATATTTATATATATTAACCTCAAAATTGAAACAATAAAGCTTGTAACGACTAATTATTAACTTATCAATGGATCTAATCTAACCCCTTAAAAATAAATTTTTTGTATTTTTTTGGAAGACGGGTTCAAATTACTTATCAACTTACTTTAAATTCAAAACTTGAAAATAAGATTTTTGTATTTTTTTAAGAAGACGTGTTCAAAAGCTGACGAACACATTCACCCTCACACGTTGTGTTGTTGGTGTTTTATGGATGTTGTAGATTGTTGACTGGGACTGCACTTTGGTTTTTTTGTTCTAGACCAAAATGGGTGTAAAATTTTTGACTCCTCAACACGGCAAAATACGGAAACACTGTGGTGGTTGGCCGTTGGCGTTAAATTAGGGACCTTTGGAGTCGGCCGAAAAAGAGGGATAATTGGAATTGGACCAGCTCCATTTAGGTTTTTCATTTTACATGCCACTTTCAAGACCATCTATAAGCCCAACCCATATTCGCTACTCCAAATATCATTGAAACGGTATAATTGGGCCAAGATTCATTGAGTTTATTGAAATCGGAAAATGAGTTTGGTAGAGGTTGGCATTCAGGTGGGTAATCGAATGGTTACTAAAAAATTGAACCAAAAAAGTAAATTTAGTTTGATTTTAATGGTTTTTGAGTTTTATTATTTTGGTTTGATATCAACTAAATAAATTTTGATTCAGTTTTGATTGAACCTTTCATTAACCAAAAATTGAAATGAGTCTCTTGAAAACCAAAATTTGGATAAATATGACAAAATATGATAAAATATAATATGAAATATAATCTATTATTGGGAAAAAAATTGATTAATGTTTATTTGATAAAAATCTGAATATAAAATAACCGATTTTATTGATAACCGAACCAATTAGTTGGTAAAAAATTTGTTTTGATTTTAGTTCTCAAAATTAAAAAACAAAATTTTTGGTTAATTTAAAAATGGTTTTTGCCCACCCCTAGTGTTTGGTATGGGAAACTTCCCCCTCTAATGTCTCTAAACTTCTATTCTTATAAGGCTATTTATATATTTGTATGTATTAATATTATAATGACACAATTTTTAACTTATAAAATTTTTTCCCCACATATTTTGAAATGAAAAAGTTTCATTAGAACTATCCTTATATTGAGTTTATGTAACAACTTTTCTTACTATCTTTTTTTATATTAATTTTTTACCAAACACAATAAACTTAATAATCCAATAAAATTTTAATACAAAACTTAACATATATCTAGACAATACTTTATAACTTTTTATACAATACTTTTTTAATAACTTTCCCAATAAAAACCATTTTTTGGTAAAATGAGTCAAATGACACTCTAAGCAACAAAGCCTTGAGTTTACACTTCACGGAAAAGTATTTTGCATCATGTCTTCTTAGAGGATGAAAAATATAACTGAAACGGTAAAATTGGGCCAAGATCCATTGAGTTTATTGGAGTCGGAAAATGAGGAGGTGTTTGGTATGGGGAAACTTTCCCTCTAATGTCTCTAAACTTCTATTCTTATAAGGTTATTTATATATTTTTATATATTAATATTATAATATATAAAGGATTAAAATGATATTTTTATTTATTATTTTCTCTGACACAATTCTCAATTTATAAATTTTTGTTCTTACTTATTTTGTAAGGAAAAATTTTCTTTAAAACTATCCTTACATTGAGTTTATGTAATAACTTTCCTTACCATTTTTCTTTATATTAATTTTTTATCAAACACAATAAACTTAATAACTCAACAAAAATTTAATAAAATTTTATTTCAAAACTTAATATATTTTTAGACAATACTCTATAACTTTTATACAATACTTTTTCAATAACTTTTCCAATAAAAACTTTTTTTTTTAAATGACACTCTAAACAAACAAGCTTAAGTTTACACTTCACGGAAAAGTAGTTTGCATCATGTCCTTCTAGAGGATGAAAAATATCATTGAAACGGTATAATTGGGCCAAGATCCATTGAGTTTATTGGCGTCGGGAAATGAGGGGGTGTTTGGTATGGGAAATTTTCCCCTTTAATGTCTCTAAACTTTTATTCTTATAAGATTATTTATATATTTATATATATTAATATTATAATAAATAAAGAATAAAAATAATATTTTTAATTATTATTTTCTCTAACACAGTTTCAAATTTATAAAATTTTTTCCTTATCTATTTTTAAAAGAAAAAAATTTCATTAAAACTATTTCTATATTGGGCTCATGTAACAACTTTCCTTGTTACCTTTCCCTATATTAATTTTCTTATCAAATATAATCAACTTAATAACTCAACAAAATTTTATTATAAAACTTAACATATTTTTTGAAAAAACTTTATAACTTTTTATACAATACTTTCTTAATAACTTTTCCAATAAAAACATTTTTTTGGTAAAATGTCACTCTAAGCAAACAAGCCTTAAGTTTACACTTCACGGAAAAGTATTTTGCATCATGTCTTTTTTAGAGGATGAAAAATATTATATTTTAATTGTGTAGATTATATATGTTGATTTTTATATTAGTCTAATATATTTAAATATTTGTCGATTATATAAAATTTAATATCGTTAAATAT